TAGAAGCTCCAATCCAAACTCCGTGGGGTTCGCGAATTGCGGCACGGGCGTGCCGAACGAGTCGAAAAACGCGGGGAGCTCCGGAGGCGGTCCGAAGTAGATGGTATGCCCCGTGGCCATGAGCAGCAGCTGGTCTAGCAGCTCCAGCACGCGGAACGACGGCTGGTGGATCACCATGATCACGATGCTGCGCGACTCGACGGCGATGTCCTTGCAGATCTTCACCACGCGGTACGCGTTGGATGAGTCGAGACCGGAGGTGGGCTCGTCTAGGAAGAGGATCTTCGGGTCGTGCACGATCTGCGCGCCGATCGCCACGCGCTTGCGCTCTCCGCCAGACACGCCTCTGCAGGGACGGGGGAAGGATCGGGGGGAAGGGGAGGGCGGGAAGAGGGGGGGTGTACACGGAGGCGTGAGAGGGGAAATGGGTGGCCAATCAATAGCAGCCATCGACGCTTCATTGTAGTGTCGCTTAGTCTCAGTTACCGTTACTCGCCGCTCACTAAGACTTTGTTATTCACGCTCTTCCACTTCTCCTAACCCGCTTTCCCCTTGGCACGTCCAATACATTCCTCATCGCCTTGTATTCTTTCAAATTAAACTTCATCACGCGCGACTTTCGTCCCAACCCCCACCCTCACCTTTACCCCTCAACCTTATCCCCGCACCCCGCGCTTACCGCCGGCCCTCGTCGCCAATGATCGTGTTCGCGGCGTGCTGCAGCCCCAGCAGCTCCAGCAGCCGCTCCACGCGCTCCTGCTTCTCCTTGTGCGAAAACGTCTCGCTCGGCAGGTTCATCTCCGCGGAAAACATGAGCGTCTCGCGCGCCGTCAGCGTCGCGTGCATCAGGTCGTCCTGCATCACGTACGCCGAGATGCGCCGCATGATGCTGCTCGACATATTTACGCCGTTCAGCTCCACGTTCCCCGTGCGCCCGCTCTTCACCGTGCCCTCCTTCTGCGCCAAGCGCGACGGCCGCGCCTCCGCAATGCGATGCGCGAGCACGTCCAGAAGCGTTGTTTTCCCCGAGCCCGAGGATCCCATGATCGCAAGCACCTCCTGCGACCGCGCGAAGCCGGAGATGCCCTGCAGAATAGTTCGGTACCGTTTTCTTTTCTTTATAGACACGCCTTGCTCCGATAGCGATTGCGGCTCCGGCGACGGCTCATCCCCGTCGCCCGCATCCATTCCCGCTTCGTCGTCCGAGTCGATCGACTCGAACCTGGCGTCGTTGCCGCCTCCGCCGACGGGGGGAGCGGCGGGTTTGATCTTCCTCGCCCCTGGAGTGCGCTTGTTGACAACGGTGTAAGTGACGTTGTGAAACGACAGAACCATTGGCTCGACCTTCACGTTCACCGCCGTGTGCGGCGACGGCGCATCGGGCGGTTGCGGCGGCGTGGCGACGGCGATGTTCTGGTAACCCGAGTAGCTGCGACTTAGCTGCGCATCGTCAGCCATGAGGCTTTGGCGGGAAGCTGACGGGGAGTATTCGGGGTCGCCCATCGCGGGGGACATGGCCGCAACGGCACCTGGCTTGCGCAAGTTAGGCATGTGGCTGCTTGGTGCGTGAGTGACGGGTGATTTGGGTCTGGACTGGCGGGGAAGGAGGGTGAGCCGACTATTGCGGAGGAGAAATGCGCGCTCGCACGTACGCACGCAGCGTCGCGCGGGAGCGTACGAAGACTGGCGGATTATCTAATGCCGTCGCCAGTGCAGCAGGAGGGATGGGATTAGACGGGTCCACGGATAAAAAGGTGCTGCGTTCCACGAAGGCCACGGCCAGGTGAGAGGGGCTAAAGAAGCTCTAATGCGCGGGTCGCTATTACACGTAGGAGAATTGAGCAGAATTTTACAAGAATGGACGGATCTTAATCGAAACACTGTCGACGAGACGTAAATGAATAGAATGGTTAGACGCTAGTGGTTTCCGCTTGCCTCCTTTCCCCTTCTCACGGAAATGGGGCGCAAGGAGCTTCTCACATCCGGACTACAAGCTCACTACCTGTCTCGCATGAAAATTTGGTTTTAAGGCACTCAAATGAGAGCTCTCCGCTCAGATGGATGGGTTGCTTAGGAGGAATTCGTTGAGAGCCGTTAGACCAACATTTTGGTTGAAGCTGTGATGGGAGAAGATTTGGAGTAATGGATGGGTGACGACGGACGCGATGGCGAATGGCAATTTTTTTAGCGAAAGGTTTGAGCTTGAGATTCGAGGCGACCGAGACGACGGCACGACTCTCCCTCGCACTCAAGTGGAGATTTAACAGCTAGAATTTGCGAAGGCGCAGTGCGCGCTCGTAAATATGCCCGCCTTCAGTTGACATGACCCTCCGTATATCATGGAATGGGAGGCTGGGGGCATTGCATCTGCTCTTCCTGGTTCCGGCTGGCTCTTGCTGGTTATTTTCTCCGCTTGTTTCTCGCGCCCTTGCGCGTCAGCAAAAGCTGTTTGTGGTGGGAGCAGTGGCAGGGAAGAACAGATGGAGGGATGGATGGCTTGGGCTGCCCTGCAGGAACACACATCCAACGATCACTGCGCGCACCCATGCAATGAATTCCAGTCGCGGCACGGGGTCCGAACCGCCTCATTTCTTTTGGTGTGGTGGAGTGGATGCGCAGGCTTGCGAGAGGGGCGGATTGAGCTTCGCGCTGAAAATACATCATCGCCTGCGACGGTGTGCCGCATTCGCAGCCCGCCAAACGGGGAAATAGATGGCGATTCGTGATCAGGCGACACGACCTGAAAAAATTGTTACCATAAGCACGGGCAGAATCTGTGAAAAAATACTTCTAATATCAACTGCAGGGTGAGTTTTGCGACGAAATGGAGGAATGAGAGGGGTAGGGAACGTTGCTGTCCACCTAGCCTTCGAAATTTGTTTTCCCTCGCACTCAGTTTTCATGGGAGCGCGTGGACGAGATGCCCGCTTCTCTAACTGCACGAACTCGACGTGAGCTGAGCCCAGCAAAAACACCAACAAAGGGGTTGTTGGTTGGGTTGAAAACGTCAGAGGCATGGATTTGGATGGAGGCATCAAGTCAAGGTCAGAAGCTCTTCTGTCTTGGGCAGATAAACATAACTTTTACTTCCATAGATGGCTCGTACAGTCGTACTACACTCACTTGGCCGCAAAGCGGTTGAGTTTCTGTAAGCCCAAACATTTCTATCACCCGTTCCCACACCTCCCACCCATTGTCAGTAATGCTGCGCTGTCAGGGGGCCATCGACCAATGAATGTGGGCCATTCGAGTTGTAACCAGTGTCGGTCAGCAATTTCAGAGCTGGCCTGCAATAACAACAGCATGCATGACACATGACTTGCTGGGAGTCATAGGAAACAAACGAATGCACTGGAATGCAAACTCGATAACTGTACAAAACCATATAATAAACGTGCTTCTGGAACAAGACTACGTAATAAAACCACCCTTGAAGCGGATCCATCCACAGCATTCAAACTCATATCCAAAGATCATGTAGATTTACAACACACCTATTCGTGAAATTACTGCACATCCGTGTGTTGATGGCCATCATCTGAATGCCTGCCAATGTTAAGGAGAAGGGTACCGTATGTGTTACGAGTGCAATTGAGCGAGCGAACGACAACTGCACAATCGAAGCAAAAAAGTACATCAAGCGAAGGCATGAGCGAACAATACATAGCAAAGCTAGCGTGGTAGCGGTAACGCGAGAAAATGGGGTGCGCTACGGGCCTAGCGCCGAGGTTGGGAATTTCCGAGGCGGATGACTGGAGCGCGGGTTACCAACCGGACCGTGAGGTTGGGTCGCGAGGTGTACAGTGGCGGGAACAGTGGTCGAGGCGAGTCAGGATTTCCACCACCAGCAACAGGAGAAGCAGCAGCGTGCGGAGGGTGTGGGTTCACCTGCTCTCGCATTCAGGGGCCTGTCGTTGGACGAGTGCACGGCTGTCTTCTTTGCCCCCAACGCGCGCTGCTGCCGCCAAACACCCTCACTGAACCTCTCTTCTCTCGCCAGCCCTCCTCCTTCCCGAGCCGCCAGCGTATCTGCTACTGAGGCTGCTCTTAAAACCGACTCTCCAGTGTCCAGGGAAGCCTTCCCCGTTGCTGCTGCCTCCAATTCTTCTCCGCGTCGTGCGCTGAAGCGTCCAAGGGACGACTCCCCCAAGCTGGGGGCACAGCAACCGCTGCTCGGTGGACGTGAGAGCTGGTTGCTGCGACGGGGGTTGCTGCGAGGTGGGGTGGTGTGTAGCACGGAGTGGTGGCGTCAGTCAGTGGCAGAGCAGTTCCAACAGCAGGGGGCGAGCAGCCGCGTGCAGGACGAGGAAGGAGCCCTTCTGAATGCTCTGCTGCTAATGGAGCATCGCCAGCTGCAGCAAGGGGGAGCGAGGAGCAGGGCGCAGCGGGTGCTGTGGCCGCGCGTTGGGTCGGAGAGTGCCCTTCTAGACGACGTGCTGTTGGGGTGCAGCAGCGACGAACCTGCCTCCATGCAACGCGCTGCTTTGTCTGCTCCTCCGCCCATCCATCCACACGCAGTGCTGGCAGCGCCAATGCCTTCCCAGCTCGCTGCTCTACCTTGCTGCGCTCCCTTCTTCGGAAATTCCTCCGCTGGCTGTGGGGATCTCGCTCCCTGCATTGGGGGTTTCGCAGTGCACGGGGAGGAGTGGCTCCGCATTGCGCCAGAGAGCGCCCTTCCTGACGACGTGCTTCTGGGACTCTGCTTCGAGGACCCTGCCTTAACGCAGCGTGCTGCTCTGTCTGCTCCTGCGCCCGCCCAGCCATTCGCAGCACCAATGCCCTTGCCGCTCGCTGGTCTGCCTGGCCCCGCTCCTGGCAGCACGAGCAAGGGCTTTACAGAGGTGCTTGCTGGGAGTACGTGTGGCACAAAGGAGCAGGAATACCTGGATGCAAGTGTTAACGTGCTCAGCAACATAAACAACACTGACAAGCACAGTGCCAAGGACAACGGTGCTCTCTTTCTCGACACGCCCCTGGCCTCACGTGCTGCTGGGTGGGAGTGCCCTCGCCGTGCCCTTGCCCAGTGGACCTCACACTGAGGGGCCTGCTGTCCCAAGTGCTGCTGGGGCAACCCTGCCAGAGTGGGCGGAGGAGCAGGGAGGGACCGGGGAAGGAGGTGCTGAGCAGCACATGCAGCAGCAGTATCTTGACCTAGAGCTTGACCGCATGCTCTTGCTGCCACCACACTAGCCACAGCTGCACTCACAGCCACCGCCACAGCTACTCCCAAAGCCACTCCCAAAGCCACTCTTACAGTTACCAACACACGCGCCTTGTCAACATCCACGAACTGTGCCTTGTGCCTTGTCAACATCCACGAACTCCATTGAACGCGCCCTCAACCCAAAGAGGGTTGCACATAAAAGTTCCCATACAGCCACGCCCTGTCATGCTGCAGCAGCCCTTCCCCACTGGTGGTGCTCCACCAGCTCTCTGCAGCAGGGCTCTCGTTATCAGGGTAAAATACCCTTTTTGCACTGACTGGCGGCCGCTTTTTTCAGTTACCCTTTCCCAGGCAGGGTAGTGGGATTTTTACCCTAGGCCATTAAGTGTAATTTTTTTTTTACCCTTTGAAATACAACGTGCCTCAAAAATTTCCCTGACTGTACAGGGTACTTTTCCAGTTACACTGATATGGATTTCTTGCAAGCGAGGATTTCAAACCTTAACAGAATGCGAAACGGACAACAAGACCAACACTCACAAAAAACAATATCACCCCCAGGTGGAGTCACGCGAATTTCGGGGCGTCGTGCCGCGAAAGTACCACATTGGAGGAACTGGCAGCCACCGTGCCAGCGCAACACGGAATCAAGGCCAGAGCAGCATTTGACAGCTGCCAGACTTGTCTAGCAGCGCGCCGACAGGACAGCGGGGCATGCCATCGTCCTTTCGTGCTGAACAGGGCACCTCCTGGCAGCCACAACTGACCACCGTGAGCCATGCAATTACGCGCTCCGGGGTCATCACGGGTGTTGGAGGAGGGGGTCGTTATCCCAAGAACACCCCATCTTTCTCATCCTTCTCATACCCTCGGTGTGAGAACCACCTCCTGGGAGGTCTCTCACATGTGGTAGTCATGCCTGCCGAGCAAACTCCTCAATCTCCCGCGGTAGTGCGTAATGGCCTTTCTGTGCTGGGAGTTATTCCTCTCTCTGCTGAGACCTACCCCGTGCCCATCTCGCCGTTGCCACCACCCGCTTCTCCCGTGCGTAGTGTGGGTATTGTATACCCGTTCGAGCCGCCGTCGACTCCTGCTGACTGGGAGCCGCACCCGTCAATTGTTCTCGTGCCAGGCGGTGGTGAAGGGTCGTCTAGACCCTCCGTGGGTTCACCGTCCACTGTGAACAGCACCCCGGGGAAACGCCCGCGTTTGGGAGCGAAGTACACGCAGCAGCGGCTATGGGGAGCCCCGCCACCCCGAAAAGAAGCTTCACCGCAACGTCCAGTAGCGACCCAAGACGAGGCGCCCGCTAAAACTACCGGTGACGTTCTCTACGAGACCACAAAGCATCGCTTTGAGTCGGAGTGGAAAGGTAAATTCAAGTGGTTGCGTCTTATTCGGAGGCCTAACGGAGAAGCAAAACTCAAGTGTGACATCTGTGTGCAGCATGGCGACCCCGCAGCTCACACTAGCTACGGTGTGAGAGGTGAAGGTGGCCGCGACCTGCAGATAGGAAGCGTCCGGGCCCATTCCTCAACACGAGCCCACAAGAGCGCAGTCAAGAACCAAGAAGAAGCTGTAACTGAGAAGGAGAAACAGGCGAAACTAAATCGGTGGCAGACAACTGACGCGTCTACGCGTCACATCATTCGCGTGCTTCATATTGCGCTTTTTATCTGCAGGGCGGATGCACCCGTCTCGATGTTCATCCCGCTCTGCTGGTTCTTGGCAAAGGAAGGCCTTCCAGACCTTCCGAACGGTGGCGGATATGGCGCCTACTACACTGAGTAAGCGCATGTTTTTTAACGGTAGCCACGGGTGATATTCACATATACTGATGTTGTTATCTGTTGTTATGTGCAGATATGGCTTCAGAGAGAATCTCTGGGCCATCTCCACGTACCTACAAGAAGTGCAACGATCGCACTTGCTGGAGTCGCCTTGGATTGGCTTGTCACTGGACGAGAGCACAGACCGAATCCACGGCAAACATCTAATCGTTTACGCTACTTTTTTCCGTGGCACGGGTGTGGTCAACGAGTTCATAACGCTCATCACTGTTGACCGTGCTGATGCAGCCTCTCTGACCTCTGCTGTGGTGCAGTACCTGACAGGGATTGGCTTGGATCTCCAGAAGATCTCTGCCATTTCAACGGACGGCGCTAGTGTCATGACAGGCAAGAACAACGGGGTTGTCGCCCGTCTGCGCATGAGGATCCCGCACCTCGCCTCCACGCACTGTGTCGCTCATCGGTGAGTGTCTCTCCGTGCAGTCGGTGGCGATGCACCATTTTTAACTTCATTACCATAACTCGTACTTTGTTTACTTGGCAGGGAGGCTCTAGCCGCAAGCGATGCCGCGGATGCTGTGCCAGAACTATATATGGTTGACGACGTCATCCGTGGCTTTGGAGATCTCATCTCGCGATCCAACGTCAAGTACGAGAAGTTTCATAACATTCAGCATGTTTTCTGCAAGACGAACCTGGAGGCACAAGGGATACACACCGTTCGCTGGCTGTCACGTGGTGAGGCCGTCCGACGCTTCCTCGAGATCCTGCCTGCAGCCATCGTGGTGCTCAAAGAGTACAACAATGACCTGTACGAGATTGCCACGTCGTTCAAGTTTCAGTGGTTGCTCCGGCTGCTTGCTGACGTGTTGTGGGAGCTGAACCATCTGAACCAACGGTTCCAGCAACGGCAGGTAAACGAATCTGAATTTCATAGACTACTTACGCCCAGAAAGGAGTGTCGCTAACCCTGTCTTCTGTGCTGTCTGAACAGATCGACGTCACGCTCGTGTCTCATCTCGTGGACCAGACACGAATGCGCATGAAGAACAGGTACTTAAACTTTTCGCCGGATCATCACTTCGGGAGTGGAGAGAAGATGACACTGAACGAATTCATTTAGCGCCATCAGAAGATGGACAAGCGGGAGGTGAAGGCAGAGGGCGTGGACAGTGACGGCAACCCCGTGAAATTTGCCTACACGCTGCACGGGAATCCCATCGAAGGGCAGGAGCCGGACGGAGATGTAACGGCTTGTGTCGAGCTGTCGCTGAAGTTTGTGCGTGCTGTCGACAAGGAGCTGGAGTGGCGGATGAAGGACCTGGAGGAGCTGGAGGGGTGTAAGCTATTTCGGTCAGCCTCATACGTACATGACGACGCCAAACGTGTGGAAAACTTCAAAAAATGGCTGGCTAAACTGCACAAGCTCTACAGGAAGAAGCTTCCAGGTATGCTCGTAGACCTCATGGTGTGTACCTGACTGTTGTTTTCCCGTTCCCTTCAGCGTTGTTTTCCCATCTGCTTCTGCTTTATTCTGACGTAACGATCGGCACACTCTCATATCTTCTCGTCTGGTCGCTTGTGTATCTCCTGGATTGTTTTGTTTAATCCTCCCCCTTCCACCCGATTGCTGCGAGTATAGCCCCGTTTAAACCCGTACCCGTACAACAGGATTCGACTACACCAGAGCACAGAGCGAGCTCTGGATGTTCACCTCAACAATGTACTCTCAACACAACAACGAGGACTTTCACCAGGCACTCGGGAACATGCTTCGTGACAACGAATGGCAGCACTCGTTCCCGAACTTGATGAAGATGTGGCAGGCAGTAGCCGTCCTACCACTGAGCACGGTCGAGTGCGAGAGGGGGTTCAGCAAGCAGAATTTGATCAAGACGTGGGACCGTGGCAGCATTTCGGACATCACCCTGGAGCATTTGATGCGCTGTTCCCTACTGCAGTATGACGTGGACTGGTACGAGGTGGTGTCCATCTTCAGGGGAGAGAGGCTGCGGAGATCGACTAAGGACTTCAGTGGCACAAACCCGGGCGAGGCTATTTTCGCTGAAGCCGTTGTAGAGTCCTCTGACCCTGTTGGCGAATGAGTAGTAGCTGCAGGTGCTGGAATGTGTGCAAGGGCTTATGTAGCTGGTGCATTGCACATTGTGATTATGTAGTTAATGTAGTGTGAACTCATGGGGTGAAAATAGACTTGCCGGTTGAATCAGTGAAAGGCCAAAATTAGTCTGACGGTTTCAGCGTAACAAAGATTTTACCCTGCCTTCGTCAGGGCAAAAAAAAAATTACCCTGCCTTCGTCAGGGTATTTTTTTTTTTACCCTAGAGGTCATACTGGTCTACACCTACAACCCAGATTACAAAGTGTGCCCCAAAACGAATCTGAAGCCCTGCTCTGCAGCCCCTTACTCCCTCCCTTGCCTGACATGACTGTTACATGACGAGGCGATGGCATGCTCTGAATGCCACAGCTGGTTATGAGCTCAGCTTGGGTGTGCACTGCTCGGATCGACTGATCCTTTCAAGGAAGAACGGATTTGACACTAACGGGGATGGGGTAATGATTGACTAAGAATGGTGTCCATGAGCACTTGGACTTCACATACAGCCGGTCTTCCCCATGGGATGCCTCTAGACTTCATCCCAACATACGCATATTCGTTCGTCATTCAAAGATTGCACAGCAATCTGTCTTTGACACTGAATTGAGGCTAATATGTCAAACTTAAATGCTATTGTCTGTCTAGGCTGTAGTGGGGTAGTTCATATAGGGTACAACACTTTTAGGTTTCCTACTTGTACCCACCTGCTTGCTAGTTCAGTCATTCCTTCCTTCACTATTCTGACATGGTAGGTTCCCTAGTGGGAACGTTTTTCTTTTTGGGCCCACCACGATTTTTTTTTCCTGCCCTGCCCGAAGCGCGCCTCGCGCCTGCCTCACCTGCGCCGTCGCGCGCCCTGCCCTAGTACGGCCCGTCGCGGCCCTGCCTTCGCCGCCCGTCGCTGGCCCGTCCCGGCCCGTCGCCGGCCCGTCCCGGCCCGTCGCCGGCCCGTCCCGGCCCGTCGCCGGCCCGTCCCGGCCCGTCGCCGCCCGTTGCTGGCCCGTCGCCGCTCGTCGCAGCCCTGCATTCGCCGCCCACTGCGGCCCTGCCCTGCAGCCGCCCTCTCGCGGCCCTGCCTTTAGCCGCCCGTCGCTGGCCCGTCCCGGCTCGTCGCCGG